GCTGACCATCTCCAGGAGTTTACATCATTACCCATAACTCCCTTCCAGGATTTTGGGTCATCAGTCAGTCCAATCCATGACCACGCGGTGCTGGTACTTGGCCTGTTTAAACTGCTGAAGTCATCAGCGCTCTCAATGGTCACCAGATCAGTGTGTTTCTCTCTGCAGTAATGCTGAGCGTCGGTCCAGGTCATTGGCAGGTTGACATAGTGGTACTCATAAAAACGGATTTGAGAGCAGGAAGTGAGGCCAAATCCTGAGGGTTGATGATGGAGGACATATTTAGTTGTAAACTGTAAAAATCATGTTTTATATAGTTTTACAATAGAAAATATCTCAACTTTAAATTAATGTTTCTTTGTTCACTTTGAAGTTCATATAATGAAAAAAAAGATACATAGAAAACAGTTATTGTTTTCCACAAACAGTATTGCAAATCTCAGAAATAAATGTATTTCAATTTTAACTTTGAGTCAGATATGGATAACTTTTAGTGAAGGAAAAACTTTTTCAAAACTGAAGATGATTTTAAAATGAGAAGATAGGTGGTTAATGGGTTCCTGTATGTCTTGCCCTGTACTTAATACTCTGACATCTTTCCTTCATAAAATTATCATTAAGGATGGTCAGAGGAGTTCAAATGACTTCATTGCCTTAATGAAATTTCTCTTATAGGCCTGAATTTCTCAGTTGTATGATGGTACATATGAACTGGGAACCAAAAACCATCAACATGAAATTAAAGCAGTCAGAACTCTTACCAAAGAAGAAGACAAAAATCAAAAGCTCTGTAAAGTTCATTTCTGATTTCACTGAAAAGTAAAAAGAAAAAAAGTATAAGTAAAAACGTAAAAAATTGTATGAAGTATCAAGCATTTACCAGGACAACAGATATTAATGCAAAAACCCACCTTAAACAATGACATGCGTACAAGACATGCTACATTTCGAACAAGCTTGACTATGGTTTTCAACTTGGTCCAATATCTGTAAAAAAGGTAGATAAATAGTAGATACAAATTGTAAATAATGAATGTAAATGCATTTCTGTTGTGTTTCGCAGGCATTTCAAAAAATGTTAAAATTACTGGGTGAAACATATGTAGGTGATTCACACTGGGAAACTGTAGGTTTGTCAAAAGGTTAAATTCTACAACTTAAACAAACTTAAATAACAATATACATTTGAAGTTTATAAATTTGATTAATTTTCCAAATGATGGTACATTTATTGTAACATTATTGAAAGTAAAAACAAAACAAAACATGAAGTTAATTTAATAAAATATACTCACGTAAAAAATCCAGCCTTTGAAATGAACCAAACCGGGAATCTCTGTGAGGAAATGTCTGCTACCCTCTCTGAGAAGTATCCAGTGCTGTGCTGTATTTTGTCATTCTTATATTTAAATATACAAATGAAGAGAGGTAACCCCTTAAATAACCTTAATATTTGGTCATCAGAAAATTTGACTTTTAGTGACAGATTTTTAATCTGCGGTCTACCGAAACCTTGCTAGATCATTGTGGCAATTTTATTATACATATTTTTTATTAATGCAGTTTGAATTCCTTGTGATTCATTTCTCCAGAGGAAGGCAGAGTTCCAACAGCAAAGCCACAGGCTGTGGTTACCATGAGAATGGGTGTGTCCTTTGATGTTGCAGGCTCTCTGTGGCTGTGGGTTTGATGCTGGCACTATAAGTTGTTGTTGCTATTGTGGCTATGTCAATTCTTGCTATTCATGTAGGTGTGGCTACTTTTACATTTTACAGCACCACCAGATTTGAAAGCTATGTTACCAGTATTCACCACTGATCAGAACTAGCTTCACCACACAAATTTCCAATTCAGTGATCAATATATCATTAGAATATCCATTGTTCATTTCTATGACACAAAAAGGGGGAACAGTCCCGTTTCATTTATTTTTACCATGATATCTGTTTTACTGTAATAAACTATGGTGAATGCTGACTGATAAAATTGGTAGGGTTGCGAAACGTCTCAGAAAACATGTAGTCATCCTGTAATTGTAAATCACATGCAAAGCACTTGCAAAGCAGTGTAGTGACACGCATAAAGATATAAATGTTAAAACAATTGCCAGTATTGACATGCTACACATCGTTAGCTCAGATAGATTCTCCACAATTAAATTGTTCAGTTTATTTTACAAAAAACCATGAGTAAAATAGTATGATAAATTCATATTTACCAGCGTCATAAACCAGCAAGATGGCAAAACGGTGGCGACTCCCTACCTTTGAAGTGCTCATGAAGTCGGATTTTTATAGTTGGTAAGAGTCCACCGATCATAAAACAGAAAATACCATAGTATTATTGTAGCATTTGATATTAATGTCGTGTTGTATTTAGCAATGGAAGGCAGCTTTACTTGAGGACTGTTACCATACTTGTAGGGAGTCAACAGTCAGAGCTGTTTTGATTGTTGTCTTTTGTGTCAATATAGTTTTTTTTTTTTTTTGTCTGAGGCCATTTGATTCATGAGGCCCATTATTGAAATCTGATTCTTGAAGTCTGATTTATAAGGTTTGAGCCAGAGACCTGATCCTAAGGTCTGGCCATGAGGTCTTATCTCTAGGTCTGATCCTTAAATGTGATGTTTGAGGTCTCACACAGAGGTGTGATTCTGGGTACTGATCCTAAGGTCTGATGCCTGAGATCAAATTCTGCTGCTTGAGGTTTGATCCCTGAAATCTTATATTGAGATCTAGCCCTTCAGGTCAGGATCATTGAGGTCTGATTCTGAAGATGTGGTTGTGAAGTCTGAGCACTTCTGTCTGATTCTCCAGGTCTGAACATGACATGATGCTAGAGGTCACCCTTGAGGCCTCAGATGTGCTGTGGTTTGGTTCCTGAGATCTGGTTGTAAGGTTACATGCCTCAGGTCTGATACAGATGCCTGATGCCTTGGCTCTGATCCTTGAGATCTGATGCTTCAGGTCTGATCCTGAGATCATGAGATCATGAGATCTGATGCCTAAGGTCCGATCCTTAGACGGATTCTGAGATCTGACCCTGGAAAATGGTCAGTTGGATGGACAGAAGTTCTGATGCCTGAGATTTTATTTACCAGTACGGCAGACAAAGAAAAATCCATCTTAAACAATAACATATGTACAGGGCGTGACATTTTGAACAGGCTTGACTATGGTCCAATATGTATAAAATAGTTGTAGTAGTTTAGAATAGATTGTAAATAATAAATGTAAATTTATTTCTGGTGTGTTTCAAAGGAATTTTAAAAAATATTGAAATTACTGGTTGAAACATATGTAGGTGATTCACACTGGGAAACTGAGTTTGTCAAAAGGCTAAATTCCCCAATTTAAAATTAAAATAACAATATTAACAACATATATTTGAAGTTGATAATGTTGATACTCACAAAAAAAAATCCAGCGTTTGAAATTAACCGAAGTTGGAATCTCCGCGAGCAAATGTCTGCTCTCCTCTCTGAGAATTATCCAGTGCTGTTCTGCATTTGACATACTCATATTTAAATATCCAAATGAGGAAAGTTAACCCATTATGTAAACATGTTTGGTCTTCAAAAAGTTAGATGTTTTGTTACTTATTTTTATGATCTGGGGTGTATAGAAACCTTGCCAGATCACTGTGGCAATTTTATGATCTATACATATTTTTTATGAATGCAGTTTGAATTCCTTTTATCCATAGTTCCAGAGGAAGGCTGAGCTCCACAGCAAAGCCACAGGTGTGTCACAGTGAGAATGGGTGTTCCCTTTGCTGTTGCAGGCTCTCTGTGGCTGTGGGTTTGATGCTGGAACATATGGTTGTTTATGCTATTAAGGTAATTCCACTTTCTTTCTGTGCATAGATGTATAATAACGTGTAATTGTGTACCTTGTGACAAAAACCACTTAGCTAGGCTACCTAGCTAGCTAAAGAGCCCTCTTCTTCACCAATTGAGCTTGTATGTGAGTCAATGGCAGGCCCTCGTCCTGACGCACCTGTTGCTACAGCAGTGCCTTCCACCTCATTGGTTGATTTTTGCTCTGATGTGAATTGTCAGCTGTGAGACCTCGTATAGACAGTTGTGTGCCGTTCCAAATTGTGTCCAGTCAGCTGTATTAACTATGGGTGGGATCCAGTCAAGGTGTAGAAACATCTCAAAGATGATCAAAAGAAATGAGAGGCACCTGAACTGAATTTCTAATGTGTGTACCACATTTAGGTACTTTCTCTTATATAAATCATTGTGCATCAGGCTGTTAAAAGATTTATAATTATTTTACAACAAAAGAGTACATAATGAGGTTGTCAAGATTCTTGTTTTATTTCAGGGCAGCTTAAAGGGCAATGTTTGTGTGCTTGCTGTTCCTTCATGGTTTATATCTTTTTAATTGAGTCTCAAAGCCTGAAGATGGATTGAGGGACAAAATAAATTACATGTATGACATAAGAAGAGATCATCAGCAAGTTGTATGCAGCACACTGACTTTATTAAGTAGACAACAAAAGGAAGCCATGAATTTCAGCTAAAGTATTTCATTTTTTATACTATAGACCTGTCATAGAGAAAAAAAGTATATCTATAAAAAGAAAGACAAAAAAACAAAATAATTAAGCAAAACAGTTTACAACAGACATGACTGAATAAGTAAGATAACATGAAAGAATAACCAGAAAGTTTGAGGTTAAAAATTACCCTCCATCTTTCATATATTAAGACATATTTGACTATTTTATTGAGCCTATACCATGATCACTCACAACAGATGACACTGGTTTTCAGGCTGGTGGTTAGTTACTTTTAACTTGTGCTAGATAGTGCATGTAATTCTATGAGAGCAGATTAAGGTTACAAGAGGCTTTGTTTTACAGTGAGTCTAATGATAGAGGATTTGATCTACTAGATTTGATTAACAAAGTCAAACTACATAAATTTTGGTTGCCTGCATTGTGTCTTTGTAGCTTATAGAACTATATAATTCAGCCTTCATCAGTCTCTTCCTCTTGTTTTTCAGGTTCAGTCACCCACCTCAGTTTAACGTCACTCCGTAAAGTCTTGAACCTTTCATCTAGCTGAGAGGGAATAAAGGTGACATTAGAAGACCATTATCTGAATGATACAAGCACAATCTAGCTTCATAAAACAGAAAATACTTCAAGTATTATTGTAGCATTTGACATATTTCACACAATAAACATTATTAATGTCATGTGTTATATTTGCTAATTGAAAGCAGCCTTAGTTGAGGGCTGTTACTCTCCTTGTGGGAAGTTATCAGAGTCAACAGTCAGAGGTGTTTTGATTGTTGTCCTTTGTGTCAATATAGTTCAGTTTTTGTCTGAGGCTGAAGTCTGATTCCTGAGATCTGGTTGTAATGGTCTGTACCCTGAGGTCTGATACCTGAGATCTGGTTTTGACATCTAGTGCTCGAGGTCTGATCCATGAAATCTTATACTGAGATCGAGCCCTTGAGGTCAGTATCATTGAGGTCTGATTCGTAACATGTGGTCATGAGGTCTGATGTCTGTGATCTGAGGTCTGATTCTGAGCACTTCTGTCTGTCCATGACATGATGCCAGAGATCATCCTTGAGGCCTCAGGTGTTAAGTCTGCTGAGGTCTGATATGACAGAGTGTGAGATCTGATCCTGGGAACTGATTAGATGGAAGGACAGAAGTTCTGATGCCTGAGATTTAGTTGTGTAGGGACAGGGTGGAGTTTCACCTGCTGGAGAATCTGGGCATGAATAGCTGGATCTGAAAGGTTAGCAGTAGTCTGAATCTTCATCCTCACCATGGTGTTCTTCACTCCCAGGTCTGAACAGTCCGACAAACATATATCCACAAACCAACAAGGGACATGTTATTGCATTGTCAGAAAAAAGCAGCAAAGCATTTATGAGATCTAATTTTTTTACCTTTATAGCACCAGAAGGCAAGTTCTGAGTTACAGTCTAAATCAGCGAAAGCATGGTCTAATCTCTCAGCCGCACAGTGCTCCTTTTTCTGCGAGTTATCTGGCTCTCTGCTTTGCCAGTTTCTGAAGGAGCTGCTGCTGTTGTCGGACCACCTCCATGGTTCTCTGTACAAGCCAATCCACGCAATATCTGTTAACTTCACTGACATCACTTCTGCGTTTTCCTGAGCATTCTCGATCATAGCCAGGTCTGTGTGGTATGTTCTGCAGTAAGTCTGGGCACCCGACCATGTCAGTGAATTGTTAATTGCAGTATATGTTCTCTTGCCTGGAGGATTTGTATCTATAATAGAGGAAAAGTAAAGCTAGTGTGAGAAGCGCAGCAGCATTAGCTGTGAGGTGATGGAAGTGTTACTTTACAGATTAAGATTTTAAATACAAATCAACTTATGAGACATACATCAAATACTCAACAGAACTTTTACTTTTGTATGTGTGTGTGTGTGTGTGTTTGCGCATGTCTTGAAGTCTGTCCCTGACAGCAAGAACAAATAAGCTGAAAATCTTGTTTTCTCCAGTGGTTTAACATCTCATCTTGCTATAGTGATGTTAAAGGTTACTATAGGATGTGTCACTACACTCTGACATCAGTGAGCGGGGTTATTACAGGTGTAATTTAGCATACTTCTGACCACACCCAAACAGACTTGAAACCTTAACAGTTATACGCTGCTCTTCAACCTGGTAATCTTTAAATAAGTGAACACAAAATTTTTCTTACCGTTGAAGCAAACAAAGGATAATTTACGGTGACAGATTTCATCCAGCCATCTTCCATCTCCGTATGCAAACACACATTTCTGATCTCCACCAATATTATTTGGCTCAGTGGGGTACCAGTTGTGGTAATCAGTTTTTGATATTTCACCAGTTGCTGACCATCTCCAGGAGTTTACATCATTACCCATAACTCCCTTCCAGGATTTTGGGTCATCAGTCAGTCCAATCCATGACCAAATGGTGCCAGCACCTGGTCTCTTCAACCTGCTCATGTCCTCAGCGCTCTCAATGGTCACCAGATCAGTGTATTTCTCTCTGCAGTAACGCTGAGCCTGGGTCCAGTTCATTGGCAGGTTGACATAGTGGTACTCATAAAAGTGGGTTTCAGAGTGAGGTGTCATAGTGAGTCCAAATCCTAAGGGTTGATGGTATTAGGCATTATTAGGCATTATTAAATGTAAATTGAAAAAAATCATGTTTGGAACAGTTGATCTGAATACTGTCTAAAGGCTTTTTATTTACTTTTACAATAGAAAATGTCTCATCTTTAGAGTGGTACCTGAAGATAAGAGAATATAACCCACCACAAGTAGATTTATATTTATTGAATAAGGTCAGACTTTGATTAATCATCATTTTCTACAAATCAGGTATATATATTTACCCATATATGCTGTAATTAACTTTTAGTGAAGAGAAAATCCTTTTCAAAACCCAGTGAGGTTAATGGTTTCCGTATGTTTTGTAGTTATACTTTGCTATACTACCTCTGACATTTTCTGTGGATGTAGAATTATGAATAAAAATGGTCAGAGGAGTTCAAATGACTTCACTGCCCTTATGAAATTTCTCTTACAGGCCTGCATTTGATCAGCTGTATGATGGTGCATATGAACAGGAAACCAAAAACCATCAACATGAAATTAAAGAAATCATTAGTCTTACCAAAGAAGACAAAAATCAAAAGCTCCTCACGGCCCATTTCTGATTTCACTGAAACGTAAAAATGCAAAGATTCACCTTAAACAGTAATATATACAATACATGCTACATTCTGAATAAGCTTGACTATTGTTTAAGTCAATATTTATAAAATAGTTGTAGTAGTTTTTTTGAGTTGATAAAAGTTGTAAATAACAAATGTAAATGTATTTCTGGTTAGTCTAAAAAAATATATAAATTGCTGGGTACTTCGATTCACACTGAGAAAGTGTGAGTTTGTTGTGAATTAAATTCCACAACGTAAAACTAAAATATTAACAATATTATCAATATACTTTTGAAGTTGATAAAGTTGATTAATATTCTTAACTGATGGTACATTTGTTGTAACTTTATTGAAAGTAAAAACAAAACAACAAAAGTCAATTTAATGAAACATACTCACATGTAAAAGCGTTTGAAATGAACCAAAACTGGAATCTCTGCAAGGAAATGTCTGCTCCTCTCTCTGAGAAGCATTCAGTGCTGTGCTGCTTTTTAACATACTTATATTTAAATATGCAAATGAGGAGAGGTAGTTCCTTATAGAATGATAATGTTCAGTCATCAAAAAGTTTGTCATAGTTTTATAATCTGGGATCTACAGAAACCTTGCCAGATCACTGTGGTAATTTTATTATATATACATATTTTTATGAATGCAGTTTAATTTCCTTTCGATCAGCAAAGCCACTGATACACCACAGTTTAGAAATAGCTTCGGCACATTTCCGAGCCAACTCGGCCAAGTCCGTTTGCTGCACCTAAGCAGAAATTGCATGTAGTTAATGTTACACCCCTTAATAACAAATATTTTGCAGTCTTCATAATTATAACAGCCAAAACCAAAGCTGCAACCATTCCATGGTCATAGTCATGATCACAGCATGGCAGGGAAATGACCATCACCCAACCAGGTGACCAAATTTCTGAAATGAAAACCGGGACAAAGGACCTGAGCCTCCTGAGCCTCCTGAGGAAAAAGAGCCAGCTCTGCCCCTTCTGTTAGATGGTATCCGTGTTCAGGGACCAGTCCAGTTTACTGTCCAGGTGCACACCTACTTGTTTGTAAGTGTGCACCACCTCAATGTCCTTCCGTCGAATGTCGACTGGCTGAAGGGTGGGCCCAGACCTCCGAAAGTCCATGACCATCTCCTTGGTCTTGGAGGTTTTCAGAAGGAGCCAGTTCTTGTCACTCCATACTCTGAAGGCCACCGTCAGATCCCTGTACTCCTCTTCCTGCCTGTTTCTGATACACACCACAATAGCTTTGTCATCCGATTATTTCTGGATGTGGCAGGACTCAGAGTTGTATTTAAAGTCCGCTGTATACAGGGTGAACAGGAATGGAACCAGAACAGTCCCCTGTGGAGCCCCAGTTCTGCTCATTACTGTTTATATATAATGTGAATAATATGAAATGTGAAAAGTGAAATGACACATTTTCATTCATTTAATTTGAAGTAAGCGGCCTATTATTTTGAACTCGACATCTTCTAACACTCACACATTCACAGGTCGAAGTGAGATGCTTTTGTTTTGTAACAAGCTAATTTTCATATGCAAATGAGGAACCAGATAAAGGTGATGCATGGCTCATCATGAATTACAATGTACAATAGCTTTGACCATGCCAGAGGTGTGGTGCTAGGGCAGGGGTTACATTGGGCCAGAGCCCATTCTGACATTCAAATGGCATCCTGTTGGAGATCAGCTCCATCTCCTTCAGTATCTGTGTCCAACTCTCACACGTTTGGCTTCAAACATCCTCTTTCAAACACTGTATCATGCTGACCAAACAAATAAGATATACTTAAAATTTGAAGTCAGGTTTTCAGGGGCTTTAAGTGGTCTACCTTTACATTACTGACCTACAAGACTCTCGCCAATGTTCATTTTCCTGACAAGCATTTAGAGAAGGTGGTTATAAAGTAACTATATGATTATGTGAATAACAACCGTGTGTTAGGAAAATAGTAAGTAAGTAGTAGTAAGGTAGTAACTTGCCTGACAATCACTGTTAATGCCAAAAAAGTGGTTGTATGTTGTAATGAAAATGAATCATTCTATAAAACCTAGTATATGGATGGACCACCTATGGTCAAATCCTGATTTTATAACCATGACGTTGTCTGACAAAATCACCAAATGCATTAATTAAAGACAAAGACTGAGCTGTGATTTCAGCTATATTTTCTGTAAAATGATCATTCAGAGAGAAAGTTAGAAGAGACAGACCATCTTTCTTTTTTAAAATTATTTTTCAGGGTTTTGCCTTTTATTACTGTCATAGTGAGAGACAGTAAAGTTGTTGAGAGAGAGAGAGAGAGAGAGAGCGAGAGAGGATGACGAACAGCAAAGGGCCACAGGCCGGACTCAAACCGTGGCTCCACCAGACTTTTATTAAGGGAAGGACTTTATGTTTAACTCCCTGAATGATCTGCAGATGGCTACCTCGGTGTGTTGGTGCTCATTATTTTGTCTTATTTTGTTTGTAAATTCAGTTTTTTGCTGTGCTACCTGGAGCTCTTTCACGTCAGAAGAGTTCATGAACATCAGTGAAACAACTCCAGCAGATTTGTTTCCCACTTTTCATACTCACTGTGCAACAAACTGGATGAACTACAGCTGCTGGTGGAGAATAATAGAGGCTTTCCTACATTTTCCGTTCTTTGCTTCACAGAGACGTGGTTGTGTGGATCAATACCGGACTCTGCGCATCAGCTGGCTGGCTTCCATCTCCTCAGAGCGGGTCGCGACACAGAACTCTCTGGCAAAACGAAAGGTGAGGTGAGTCTCTCCCCTCTGGCAGGAGGCTGCGGTCTGTCAGGGCCAGCACCTGGCCCAGCTGTTGTTATCTAGCCAAAACGTTTTCTGTAACTTAGAAGATGGCAGTCATCTGCTGCAACAGCAACAGGTGACTCTGCCCCACTTCCTCTAGCCTTGCTTGTGCCTCGTTGCCTCATTCCTTCTTTTTATTTTTGACAAATCTTCTAATATCCATAGTCTCAGATCGTTAGCATCCACCAGATGCCAACAACCCTGTAACCGTTTAGCTCTCTCTTTCTGTCTTTCTCGCACTCACACAAAATGCTTGCGTACTAGGTAGTGTGAAGTAGATCTTCTGCTTGAATGACACATGACAACCCAAACAACAACCCATTCATAAAACATCCCAGGCTTCAGCCCCAAATGCCTATGGAATAAACCAATATTGCTAATAAAGATTCTGAACAAAATCAGAGCAAGAACAATGAACACCAAACAAGGGCAAAACGTCTGTTGAGTATCTGACCTGTCTGAAGAACTGTCTCAAGAACACAGACATTGAAACTTGTAAAGTTGCCTTTTAAATTAAGTGTTGATATACATAAGTTCTAAATGGCAACATTTAATTTGGTAATTAAATGTATGAACTATATTTTGTCTGGGTAATGTATATAATTTACAGTATACTGTATATAAACTGCCATTTGAATGGACTTTTGAAATGCCTTTTGCTAAACACGTATGTGCATCTATATATATATACAGTATATACAGCCACACATATATTTATATATCTATATGTATATGTATGATCATATATAGATAGATAGATAGATAGATAGATAGATTTAGGGAGAAGGTAAATTCTATATGTGACATAAGAAGACATCATTAGCAAATTGTATACAGCATACTAACTTTATTAACTAGACAACAACAGCAAACCATGAATTATAGCAAAAGTAGGTCATTTGTCATACTATAGACCTGTCATTGACAAAAAAAACTATATTAATGATAATAATGATAATAAAAAGAGAGCAAAACACAAAAATAAACAGTTAATTACCCTAAACCTGGCTGCAGTGACAAACAAGTGTATTCAAGTACCATGTGACATCATTGTAAGGTGTAGATACAGGTGCAGCAGAACATGTTTCTGGCTTGTAACTTTTATAGTGAATCAACTCTTATTACTCAGATCTGCAGGTAAAGATCTGCTGAGACAATGAGACACATCCAGCCCTGTGCTGCTATATTTTGTCAGGCTTATATTTAAATAAACAAATGAGAAATATGACACAGGTCACTTTGGTACTACATGATGATAACCAATCAACCAGTGAATGTTTGATATGTGATAATTGTAAAAAGTAAAATGTTTTGTCACTTGATGCTGACATGAAACTTTCCACCAGAGGACAGAGAAACACTGGTTTTCAGGCTGGTGGTTAGTTACTTTTAACTTGTGCTAGATAGTGCATGTAATTCTTTGCAAGAAGATTAGTGAAGATTACAACATGTTTTGTTTCACTGTGAGTCTAATGATAGAGTATTTGATCTACTAGATGTGGTTAACAAAGTCAAACTACATAAATTTTGGTTGCCTGCATTGTGTCTTTGTAGCTGATAGAACTATATAATTCAGCCTTCATCAGTCTCTTCCTCTTGTTTTTCGGGTTCAGTCACCCACCTCAGTTTAACGTCACTCCGTAAAGTCTTGAACCTTTCATCTAGCTGAGAGGGAATAAAGTGACATTAGAAGACCATTATCTGAATGATACAAGCATTTTGGAAATCTAGCTTCATAAAACAGAAAATACTTCAAGTATTATTGTAGCATTTGACATATTTCACACAATAAACATTATTAATGTCATGTGTTATATTTGCTAATTGAAAGCAGCCTTACTTGAGGGCTGTTACTCTCCTTGTAGGGAGTTATCAGAGTCAACAGTCAGAGGTGTTTTGATTGTTGTCCTTTGTGTCAATATAGTTCAGTTTTTGTCTGAGGCTGAAGTCTGATTCCTGAGATCTGGTTGTAATGGTCTGTACCCTGAGGTCTGATACCTGAGATCTGGTTTTGACATCTAGTGCTCGAGGTCTGATCCAAGAAATCTTATACTGAGATCGAGCCCTTGAGGTCAGTATCATTGAGGTCTGATGTGTAACATGTGGTCATGAGGTCTGATGTCTGTGATCTGATATCTGAGGTCTGATTCTGAGCACTTCTGTCTGTCCATGACATGATGCCAGAGATCATCCTTGAGGCCTCAGGTGTTAAGTCTGCTGAGGTCTGATATGACAGAGTGTGAGATCTGATCCTGGGAACTGATTAGATGGAAGGACAGAAGTTCTGATGCCTGAGATTTAGTTGTGTAGGGACAGGGTGGAGTTTCACCTGCTGGAGAATCTGGGCATGAATAGCTGGATCTGAAAGGTTAGCAGTAGTCTGAATCTTCATCCTCACCATGGTGTTCTTCACTCCCAGGTCTGAACAGTCCGACAAACATATATCCACAAACCAAGGAGGGAAATATTATTGCATTGTGAGAAAAAAGAAGAAAAGCATTTATGAGATATATATATTGTTTCACCTTTATAGCACCAGAAGAACATTTCAGCAGTACAGTGTATGTCAGCCCAAACATGGTCTGAATTCTCAGCCGCACAGTGCTCGTCCTTGACACTGACATCAGGCTCTCCGATTCGCCAGTTTTTGAAGGAGCTGTTGCTGTTGTCTGACCATCTCCACGGTACCCGGTACAAGCCAATCCACCACCAACCTCCAGATGGAAACTTTGACATCACCTCTGCATTTTCCTGAGCATTCTCAATCATAGCCAGGTCTTTGTGGTTTGTTCTGCAGTAAGTCTGGGCATCCGACCATGTCCGAAGAATTTTAATTAAAGTATATATTTTCTGGCCTGGAGGATTTGTATCTACAATAGAGGAAAAGTAAAGCTAGTGTGAGCAGCAGCATTAGCTGTGAAGTGATGGAAGTGTGTCAAAACTTACAACTTAGTCATGCAGAGATGAGTAGATAAGGTTACGACTGTTGATTTTTTTTCCCTCGTCTATATACATTGCCCTTTGACACATCTAAATTTATGAGTCACAATACTTTGATGTTGGCAAGATTAAACTGGTCACAGGTCAAGGTTAGAAGAGTTAGTTCAAGAGTTAAAGCTAGGTATTTATTTGTGCTGGCTACGGTTAGGTTAAGGGGCTAGGTAATACATTATGTCATGGCGATAGTGGAAGAAGACTGTGTATGTGTGTTTGTGTGTGTGTCTGCATGCAAATGATCTTCAACAAAAAGGTTGAAGACCAACTCGGCAGCAGCTGAAAATCTTGTTTTCTCCAGTGGTTTAACATCTCACCTTGCTATAGTGATGTTAAAGGGGACTGTAGGGTGTGTCAGTACACTGTGACATCACTGAGGGGTGTGATTGCAGGTGCAATACATCATTCTTCTGACCACACCCAAACAGACTTGAAACTTTCAGCCACAGAGGACAGTTATACGCTGCTTTTCAACCTGGTTATCTTTAAATAAGCAAACACAATTTTTTTCTTACCATTGAAGCAAAAAAAATGGAATTCAGCTGAACAGTCTCCATCGAGCCATAGTCCATTACCATCTATAAAACCACAGGTCTCACGTCCTTGACCATAATTTGGCTCATTGGGGCCCCAGTTCTGGTAAACAGTTTTTGCTGTTTCACCAGTTGCTGACCATCTCCAGGAGTTTACATCATTACCCATAACTCCCTTCCAGGATTTTGGGTCATCGCTCAGTCCAATCCATGACCACCCGGTGTGGGAATTTAACCTTTTTAACCTGCTCATGTCCTCAGCGCTCTCAATGGTCACCATATCAGTATGTTTCTCTCTGCAGTAACGCTGAGCCTCACTCCAGTTCATTGGCAGGTTGACATAGTGATACTCATAAAAGTGGGCTTGAGAGCAGAAGGTGAGGCCAAATCCTAAGGGTTGATGGTAGAGGACATATTTAGTTGTTGATCTCAATACTGTCTAAAGGATTTCCTTTCATTTTTTTAGTTCTACGATAGAAAATGTCTAATCTTTGAATTATTGTTCGTTTATTTGTTCACTTCATTTGTTCACAGATTTTTATTTCAGCATCTAACAAACCAAATGGCAAGTAAATCACAAAAAAACAGTCATATTGTTACCCACAAACAGTTTTGCACATCCTGGACTTAAAGGTGTTCAAATCCTATCTTTATGAGTCAGATATTGGTAACTTTTAGTGAAGAAAAATGTTTTTCAAAACAGAAGACAATTTCAAAATGAGTCCATACAAATGAGAGCTGGTTATGAGTTAATACTCCTGACATTTTCTGTAAAACTAGTATTAAGAATGGTCAGAGGTTTTCAAATGGCTTCGCTGCTCCTATGAAATTTCTCTTATAGGCCTGAATTTCCCAGCTGTTTTATGGTACATATGATCTGGAAACCAAAAACCATCAATGTGAAATTAAAGCAATCAGAACTCTTACCAAAGAAGACAAAAATCAAAAGCTCTGAACAGTCCATTTCTGGTTTCACTGAAAAGTAAAAAGAAGAAAATGGAAGTAAAAAAGTAATAAAAAGAAAAGTATGAAGTATCAAGCATCTTATAGGACAGCAGACATTAAAGCATTAAACAATAACATACGTACAAGACATGCTACATTTTGAACCAGCTTGACAATGGTTTTCAACGTGGTCCAATATTTACAAACTAATTGTAGTGGATTATAGGTGTTGTAAATTGTAATTAGTAAATGTAAATGTATTTCTAGCGTGTTTCAAAGGCATTTTAAAAATATTAAAATTACTGGGTGAAAAACATGTTGGTGATTCACACTGAGAACCTAAGTTTTTTAAAAGGTTCGATTCCACAACGTCAAACTAAAATAACATTACCAATATCCATTTCAAGTTGATCAAATGACAGCTTGATCAAATATAATATAATATTGTAACTGATGGTACATTTATTGTAATAGTACTGAAAGTAAAAACAAAAAAGAGTCAATTTGATAATGATAACACTAATAATACTAATAATAACAATGATAATAATAATAATAGTAATTATAATAATAATAACTAGGAATAAATAGAAAATGTACTCACATGTAACAAATCCAGCATTTGAAATTAAGTAAAACTGGAATTTTTTCAAGGAAGTATCTGCTCCCCTTTCTGTGAAGTATCCAGCTCTGTGCTGCATTTTTACATACTCATATTTTAATATTCAAATGAGGAAAAGATAACCTCTCAAAATTGTAGACATTTTGTCACAGTTTTATAATCCTGGGTCTACAGAAACCTTGCCAGATCATTGTAACAATTTTATTTTATATATACATATGTATATATAAATTCCCCCTCTCAGAGGGGGTCCTGTACCAGAGGACTGGGAGTTTGAGGGTTCTGTGCAGTATCTTAGCTGTTACTAGAATTGCCCTCTTCTGGGCAGAGACCTCAGATGTTGTACCTGGAATCTGCTGGAGCCACTCTCCTAGTTTGTGGGTCAAAGCCCCCAGTGCTCCGATGACCGTTGGCACCACTGTTGCCTTTACTCCCCACATCTTTTCTAGCTCCTCTTTCAGCCCTTGGTATTTTTCAAGCTTCTCGTGTTCCTTCTACCTGATGTTTGTGTCGCTCAGGATTGCTACATCTATCACTGCAGCCTTCTTCTTTTGTTTGTCGATCAACACGATGTTAGCCATCACCAGTTTGTCAGTCTGAATATGGAAGTCACACAGGATCTTAGCTCGGTCATTCTCAACCACCTTAGGAGGTGTCATCCAGTCTGACCGTGGGACTTCCAGTTGGTTATGGCGTCCCATGTATGCTGTTCCGGCCTGCATCGTACACCCTGCTATTTTGTGGTAGACTGTCTCAGGAGCATCTTTGCACAGCCTGCACCTAGGGTCCTGTCTGGTGTGGTCGATCGCTGCCTCTATTGATCTTGTACTAAGTGCCTAGTCTTGTGCTGCCATGATAAGTGCTTCTGTGCTGTCTTTCAATCCAGGCTTTTTTTTTTGCCACTGGTAGGTTCTCTTGATATCAGCCACTTCTTCTATCTGTTGGTGGTACATGCCTTGTAGGGGCTTGTCCCTCCATGATGGTTCATCCTCCTCTGCATTATCAGTTTCTGCTGGCTTAGGTATTCACTTAGCAGCTCATCTTTGGGGGCCATATTCCAACAGGTCAATATTCCCTGCTCTGGGCCACCTATATTTTGTTCCAGTAGACCATTTCTCATCAGGTTGCCATGGTTATGTTCAGCACATCATGCAAAGCCTAAGAATCTAACATTACATTGTTGTCTTCTACAAGTGTGATTACATACATGAATTACTTACTTAACAACACAACAGAAGAAGTTTTATATTTTAAGCACAGCATTATAGATCAAATCAAAGTTCTTTCTCACTGACAAAGTGGATGTTTGTGCTCTACTTAATTGATGCATCTGACACTGACAGTCCATTGGTATTTGGGAAAATGTATTAAGGTATTAATGTATTATGTATTAATAAAGTAGACTGTATATTTCATATATTTTTTGTTGCATTGAATCAGTCCCCAAAAAAAAAAAAAAAAAAGAATCAGCCAAATTTTTTATTTTGCCATATCATCCAGCCCTATGTATCTTTACATTTTCCCGGCTGCTCTGGAACTGCAGCGAAGCGGAGGATTGCTTCCAATACACTGAGCCTTGCCTCCATTACAGCAAATAAACTACTTTCATTACATGTATCCTTATTACTAAGGGGACAGAGGAATAACTAAACATAAGACACATTGAGTAGACAGAGCAGGAGAGAGGGCGGGAGAGAGACGGCAACTGTAACTGCTAAAGAAACTAGTACATCTGAATAGCATGTAAACAACAGAAACACCAGCCACAGGAAATGAGACAATATTCTTGTTAAGAAATAAAGGGTTTCTGCTTTAAATTTGTTGAGGTAAATAAAAGACAAACTATTGTTGAGGCTGTGCTCGTGTGAGAGACAAAATAAGAAAAATAGTCTGTCTCTTCTAACTTTGTCTCTCAACGATCATTTCACATTAGATAAAGCTGATAACACAGCATAGCTTTGTCTTTAATGTATGTGTTTGATGATCTTGTCAGATGACGGATTTGACCATAGGCGGTCCAGCCATATACCAGGATTTGACCTAGTCTTGTTTATATATTGTAGATAATAGAGACAATGTGTTCAGATGCAATGGAGTCCAAAAGCATGTTATTGACTCTGAATCCACTTATCGAATCATTTGGTTTGAATCCCTTACCAAACCTTTTTAAGTAGTTTGTTAGGTGACAAATAAAAAGTTTACAAATGTTGTTTTTAATTCACTCAGTGCAGTAGCAAAGCAGATTTCAACTGTTTTGTGTAACAAAAGATATAATTTGATATTTAATATTCTAGCTTTTTTTGATAAAAATGACCAGACAAGCATAACTGACACTAACAGAAATAATGGTATTTTCATTTTCATAGACATTTCCTATGAAATTCATCAGTGAATAAATGCAGTCTCTCTGTACCTGACAGGATAAGTCAGTTAATAAAATCCATGAACTCAAATCTTTTCTTACCAGTGTAACAAACAACACTGCTAGTTGCTTGACAGGACATATCATCCCATCCTCCACCAGCAGCCATTATCACACAGTTTTCATTTGCTTCAGTATTCTGTGGTTCATTTACATTCCAGGCATGATAACCAGTTTTGCTTGTTTCACCAGTCGCCATCTCCTGGAGCTGGCGTCATTGCTGTCTGGGTCATTCTTCCCATGAAGAGAAAAAATCAGGTTTTACCATGCTTATCTTGTCCATGCTCTCACCATCGATTGTCGCCAGGTCAATGTATTTCTCTCTGCAGTAATGCTGAGCATTGGCCCATTTCGTTTTCAAGTTAACATAGTAGTACTTGCGCAGGGGGAACTGAGAGCTGGAGCTGAGGCTAGATCCTGAGGGCCGATGATGGGCGGTATTTACTATTTAGTGAATTTGCACAAATAGAAACAATAACACAATTTTAAGAAAATATCCATCTTTGGATATTTATCAAAACTCCCAACACAGTATCATTAAATCCAACCAACTCCTGCAGACAACTGTCACTATTCATTTTTTTCCACCACAGTAACATTTTTGCAAACATTTCTGCCAAGCCAATAAACAAACTAACTAAAAAGGAGCACATGAAAAGTTAGGCATGATAAAGATAAAAGTAAAAATACTCATGCTGAGTCAAAGTGTGATTTGTTGGGATATTTTTTCACCATGATCATTGCATGAATCTTTGCCCCCCTGTGAATTTATTCTCTGAGTTTTTTACCTTAGAAATGTGTGGCATGTGTGAGTATGAGATAAAACAAGCTGTAGGAGGTTGATTTTTAAAACTCAAAGTAGTTCAATAACTAGCTGTCTCCCTTTCCCAGCCCAGCTTTATCCATTAATTTCTGTTCAACTTGAGCAATGAGGTTAGTCAGCATATTTAAAGCTTTAGGTAAGACATTTCTTTCCTTGCTTTATATTCCACTGTAATCCAGTGGTATTACAACCATCTCACTAATTCCCTGGAAGTATAAAGACATACTCACACGTTTAAATTCCAGCTGGTGAATGTTATTGTAAGGTTGAGATCTGAGCTCTTTCCAGTGAATCATCCAAAACTACAGACTCTTGCACATGTGGAGGAGACATTGGTTATAACCTCCTTGAGGAATATGTAATGCTTGAGACCATTTTCATATGCAAAACATGACTCCTTTAGAGGTTGGGTCAATCATAAATATCCATCTCCTTGTAGACCATTACACTCCCTCAGCAATTTAACATAGTTGATGAAAAAAGAGCAATATTTTTTCTTTTTTCTTTGTAAGGTCTGTTTAACTTCCCGTCATTCTCAGCTACTACTTGTTTCTACCCATTCACAAATTTTATAGTAAAACTGCGTGCACCTGTCATGGTTTGCTATGGCAGACAACTTTTGTTAGTTTTGTTTGGACTTTTCGCACTTCCTGTTTTATTTTGTAATTGGTTTCCTTGTGTGGCTCAGTGTTTTTGCTTCCTGTCTTGGTCCTGTTTCTGTGTGGTGATTGTCTGCCCCGCCCTAATGTGTTTCACCTGTGTGCAATCACCCTTGCCTCCCTTGACTATATAGTCTTTGTGCTCCCCTTTGTCTAGGTCGGCTCATTTGTTGTCTCTCTGTTGATTTCTGGGTTTGTCCTCGTCGGTTCACATGCCTGTTCATGTCTGGTTGGTCGCAAAGCTGTTCATGTGTGGTTGTTCTCAGTCTGTTCATGTCTGCCTGTTCCTGTCTCCTGTTTTAAGTTCCTGTGTTTCCCTGTTCTTCCCCTGTGCTTCACCAGTGTTGTGTGTAAGCTTTAAGTTAATAAACCTTTTTGCACCGTCTCCCATGTGTTGGCTGCATTTGGGTCCAGCCTTACCCCTCAAACCCCGACAGTTGTGATGACACCTCCGGTCAATATCACTGTCCATGTAATTTAATTAAATCCTGTCTATTTAATTAATTTAAAGACAATTCATTTTGACTAATTAAACTATAACTATTAACTACTCTCAATATTAGTGAGATTAAGTTTCTTTTTTTTTTTTTTTTTACAACATTTTGTATGTCGGCCTTTATTTTTGATGACAGATCTGGATTATACCGGTCTGACACAAATCTGTTGAGATGTTCTGCCATTCTCCACAAACAACTCTTTTCAGCTGCTCTTGCCTGGAGGGGTTTTCTTGCTCTGCCTTACACTATAAACTATACACTATATTTCAGTGTATTTTGGAGCCATTGTCAAAATTCTTCTAATGCCAAGCCTGTTGAGACTGGGAGTCATATTTTCATTCAGTATTTGGGTATGCAAATTTACATTCATTGTGTCATCTATGAACATCTGTATCAGTGCTCCACATCAGACATACAAGACCCTATCTGATCTAAGCAAATTTATTTTGGTTTCCTCTGATCAAAGAATGAATAGACTTCTATTCATGTTCTACAGTAATGGTGTGAGCAGTGGTTTTCATCCATGGAGACTCACCTCACGCAATGTCTGTCACTCTGTCTGATCAGTCACTGACCTATTTCCTCAGATAATCCTCGTGCCAAGAAGCAATTACCTGTCTGTTTATCAATGCAAGGAAGTGTAAAT